ATTATAATAATAATATATAATATATATATAATATATATATATATATAATATATAATATATATATATAATATGTATAAAATATATATAATATATATATAATATATATATATATATATATATATCTAAATATATAATATATATATTATAATATATATATATTATATATATATATATATATATATAAATAATAATATATATATATATATATATGTGCTGCTCCTTCAGGCAACGTTGAACACGTGTTGCCCTTCAGCAGCCGTATAACGAACGACGAAGCAATAGTTTTAAAATCTTTATTTACTAACGTTTGTCCGTAAAAAGAGTGTACTTGTAAAGCGTAAATAATACACAAGCAAAACGAAGGAAGGGACCCCCCAGGTAGAACCCAGCGAGCCAATGAGAGCCGCTATAGCAGTAAATTAGCGCGAAATGAAGAAACAGGAAATACTAATATGTAAATGTAGTGTAGGGCCAGAAGGGCCAGAACACTCCCCGTCTGGTACAACGGTACCACTATTAAACGTTTAAATTAACTATTCTCAAGTTCAGTTTGTCTTTTGAGCAGGACAACTTCTGAAACAGGCCTTTCATAGGTCTGTTTAGAGCCATTCTTCGCGGTGCTGATTTCCACTTTCCGTACTTTTCCATCATTGCTTTTTGTCGTTTTGGAGATCAATCCGATCGGCCAATCGTTCCGTGCAGATTCTTTGCATCGAAGTAACACTAAATCACCGACTTCTACGTTTGGTAGAGCGTGCTCCCATTTGCGTCGACGTTGCAGGGTTGGAAGATACTCCCGCTTCCACCGAGACCAAAAACGATTCGCGAGACATTGCACTTGTCGCCATTGCTTGGCATATAGGTCTCGGGGAACAAATTTACCTGGGGCTGCCAGAAGAGGTTGAGTTTTCTGTGTTAGGAGAGCTGCTGGCGTCAATATTTCCGGAGCCGCAGGGTCGTTGGAAACCGGTATGAGTGGTCTGTTATTGACGATGGCCGAGACTTCCGCCAAAAAGGTGGATAGCACTTCGTGCGTTAAGTGGGTGATTTGGGATGTCAGTAGTACAGAGTCCAATATGCGTCTGCAGACTCCGATCATGCGTTCCCACGCTCCACCCATGTGCGAGGCGTGAGGAGGGTTAAACTCCCAGGTACAACCTTGCGAGGTAAGGTAGGACTCGATGATATTCCTATCCATTTCCTTTAATGCTGCCTCGAACTCGTTGCGCGCGCCAACGAAGTTGGTTCCACGGTCTGAACGTATCAGTCTAACAGGACCCCTAATTGCCATAAACCGCCGCAGTGCGTTAATAAAGCTTGACGTGTCCATGCTCTCGATTGGCTCGATATGGACGGCTCTTGTTGCTAAGCACGTAAATAGCACCGCCCACCGTTTGCTCGAAGCGTGTCCTCCCCTGGTGCGACGGGCTACGACATACCATGGTCCAAAAACGTCGATTCCGATGTTGGTGAATGGAGGAGAGGGGTGTACGCGTTCTGGTGGGAGATCAGCCATCTTTTGCTGTTGGAACTTTCCTCTTAGCCTTCTGCAGGTGAAGCACTCATGGATAACCCGATTGATCAAGCGTTTTTCTCCGACAATCCAAAATCCCTTTCCCCTGACCATTCCGTGGGTGAAGTGTCGACCTTGGTGTTTTACCTCCTCGTGGAGATTTTCAACGATTAGTCTGGAGATGTGATGTTTCGAAGGAAGAATAGCGGGATGACGTTCTTCGTATGACGAATCAACGTAGTGTAAGCGTCCTCCGACTCTCAGGATGCCCTCGGGATCTATGATTGGGTTAAGGCTCCGTAATTGTGACGATTTCGAGAGAATTTTCTTATTCTTCGAGCAGTGGATTTCGTCCTTAAATGATTCACTTTGCACGCTTCTGATGATAAGCATTTGAGCACACCGCTTTGCTTCGACTACTGATTCTTCATCGTCTCTCTCTTCTTTATTTCTATGGCGTTGTAACCTTCGGGCCAGTCGTATCAGTCGTGACACTCCATTTACGAGGTTAGTCCAACGCGAGAATCGGAGGAATCTGGTTGTACCCAAAATGTTCCTTTTTTCCGGGTCTGCCATGGTGGCAAAGGTGTTTACGGATGGTCGGACTTCCGGGTCGTCGGCAAGTGTCTGAGTCTCCTTGTTTTCTTCTTGAGCGTGGTGGGGTGTACTATCTCGGAGGAATTTGGACCGTTCAGCCATATGGAATCCCTGAGATCACTAGCCTTGATCGAACGGGTGGCGAGGTCAGCTGGGTTAAGATCTGTCGCTACGTATCTCCATTGATGCGGTGATGAAGACTTTCTGATTCGTTGTACCCTATTGGCGACGTAGACGTAGAAACGTCGTGTCTCGTTTAGGATATAACCCAGTATTACTTTGCTGTCCGAATAATACGTTACTGACGAAGCCTTAATGGGCAACTCTTCCAGGACCAACTCTGTGATTTCGACCGCTAGTACTGCAGCGCAGAGTTCTAGACGAGGGATCGTGGTTGCGTGAGACGGAGCGAGTTTAGCTTTTCCGATCAAGAAGGAGACTTCGATTTTGTTGTCGTTCAGGACTATTCTTAGGTAGGAAACGGCCGCAATAGCTTCTTGCGAGGCATCGCTGAACGTGTGGACTTCAATTTGCTTGGCTTCCGAGAGAGATGTTGCCGTGTAGCTCCTTGGCAGCATAACCTGTCTCAGTTCTGTGAGTGACCTCCGCCAAACTTCCCACGGTTGTCGATATTCTTCCGGAAGAGGCTTGTCCCAAACGTCCAGTGGGTTTCGTTGGAGGCTTGTCGTCATTGTTCTTAATAGCATCTTAGCCTTAATGACCACAGGAGCAGCGATGCCAAGAGGATCATATAGACTGTTAGTAGTAGATAGGACGCCTCTTCTGGTGAATGGCTTTTTCTCATCAGCGACTTGGAAGGTAAAGACATCGTTGTGTAGATCCCAAGATACCCCGAGCGAGCGTTGAACTGGGACGCTATTATGGTGAAGATCGAGGTTACGCAGTTCTGTGGCTCGATCTTCCTCGGGAAAGGCGTGTGCTACTTCAAATTTGTTGGAGGAGACTTTATGAAGGCGGAGGTTAGCGGTGGCGAGCATTTGTTGTGTGCGTTTTAGCAGGCTGATCGCTTCTTCACAGTTGGATGTCGACTTTAGGCCATCGTCTACGTAGAAGTCACGTTCCACGAATTCCCTAGCGTCCGTCCCGTAGTTACGTTCTTCGGTGTGTGCGGTTAATCTCAGCGCAGTGGTGGCAACGGCTGGTGAGGAGGTGTTGCCAAAAAGATGCACTTTCATACGGTATTCGATCACTTCTTTGCACGGGTCGTTCTCTTTGTACCAGAAGAATCTTAGGAAGTCTCTGTGTCGGGCGTTGACAAAAAACGCGTGAAACATTTGTTCGATATCGACTGTGAAGGCGACTGGACCGGTGCGAAAGCGTAAGAGAATTCCTATCAGACTGTTCGTGAGATCTGGGCCGGATAACAACATCTTGTTTAGGGAAATTCCACTAGTCTCTGCGGCCGAATCAAAGACTACACGGATTTTTCCTGGCTTACGAGGGTGATACACGCCGAAATGAGGGAGATACCACCGTGCAGCGTTGGAATTAAGGCATTCGTCGGGGACTGGTTCGGCATGGCCTTTTTCAAGAAGCTTTCCCATGAATTCATGATAATGTTTTTCCATGTCGGGCTTTCTCTGTAACATCTTTCTGGTGTTGTTAAAGCGTTTAAGAGTGTCCTGTCGGTTGTCAGGGAGTTTCGTCGCAGGATTTCGAAAGGGCAGTGGTGCTTCCCAGTTTCCTTGAGCATTCTTTGTCATTTGGGCTTCCATGATTGACGCAAATTTCAGATCTTCGATGGACTGTCCTGGCTTATTGTCGTCTTTCGAGGTGTTGAATACGTTCTGCCGATGTTGTCGTCAAAATAGCCGTTTCGGAATTCTTCCTTTCGCGCGAGTGGAGACTTGGGGCTGTACGAAAGAAATTTGGGCAAGGTTCTAGGTTTGAAGGACGTCCGTTTTCTAGGATGTTGGATCTATAGCAGGCAAGATCGGGCTTGTGGGCTCCATTCAGGCAGACGTTGCCAACAATTACCCATCCAAGGTCAAGAAGCTGGGCCCAAGGTGCGTTTTTGGGACCATTTAGAGACTTGTGGACTTTGTGCAAAGGTGGAACGTTACGTCCGATAAGCAGGAGAATGTTAGCATCGTTACATATGTCGGGCATTTCCTTTGAGATGCGCTGCAGATGTGGGTATGCGGCAGCCACCTTTGGGGTAGGTATTTCGTCTCGTGAGTCTGGTATATCGTTACACTCGTAAACGTTAGGTATTTTATATCCTGTTTTTCCATCAAGGGATTCTACGACCAAGTCTTTGGTGCATCTTCCTTCGATCTCGCTGGTTCCACCACATGTTTTCAGTGAGTAAGTGGTTGTCTGTCCGTGGACGTTTAGTACATCAAAGAGTTCAGGCTTTGCGAGGGAACTGTTACTTTGATCATCTATGACCACATACGCCTTTAGCTTGTGTCCAGGATTCCCATGTAGATAGACGTTGGCTAAACATATCTTAGAACAAGACTTTCCACCGCGAGTATTACCACAAAGTTCAGTACATTTCGTGGTTATTTCTTCATGGGTGTCTTCTTTTGTTTCGTTTATTTCGGCGGGAGCTCCCCGCCGTTCTTCGGATGGGCTTCGCTATGCAGTGCGGCCAGATGCTTGTCGCTGTCGCACTCTGTACAGGTAACCTTTGTTTGGCAATCTTTGGCACAATGTTCGCAGGAGGCAAGGCATCGAAAGCAAACACCGTTTTCCTTCACTATCTTTGTTTTCTCTGCTAGGGGTTTGGCCAAAAAGGCTCTGCATTTCCGTAGTGGGTGCGGCTTTTGATGCACAAGACACCAGTTGGATGGGTCACGAGGTGGGGTTTTCACTTCCGTTCTCTTGGTGCTGATAACCTCTCTTGATCGACTTCTCAAGCCTG